TGAGCCACACATTTAGAAAATTCCTGAATGCTCCTGAAACCATTTCCTACAGTCCTAGAAACACCTCCCACAAGCCATGCCCAGGAGTTCAGCTGCTGCCACTAACAGTGTGAGCAAGATACCACCCAGCAGATTGAATAAGTCCCACTGTTCCACTCTGGTTTCACAGGGCTTGCATACTGAACTGGGGAAAATCTTGTTATTTTTTATGAGATTCAATTCTATTTTATTGCAAGGAAGTGCTGCAGCAGAAGAGCAAGCTCACACACCTTCTGCTCAGATGAGCTTCTCCTCTAATGCCATATGGACAAAACTGTCACACAATTTCCAATCCCAAAATTTTGTAAAAGTTTTAGTAACTCCTCAAGGTTTACTGTGCATTCTCTTTAACCCCTGTCCTTTCAGGTAGTGTTTGGTAGCTGTGAGTGATGGCAGAGCAGGCAGTTGCCAGTTCCTGCCTGCTGGTTTGCCAGAGGGAGGAGGAAACGCCTTGGGCAGCTCTGGTGTGGACAGGTCATTTATCACATTTTGTTGAGAAGGTGCTGAACAATGAAACACTGAAAGAGAGCTGCTAGCAAAAACACTTGGGGAACTTCTGTCCATTCTTCTTTCCATCTCCATAACGCAGGGCAGCCTTATACCCTCCTTACTGTGTCTCAGCTGCAGTGCAGCTGTAGGCAGCAGTGCACAATTTATTCTCCTCCTGGCCATACAGCTGTTTCCAGTATGATCTGTGGACAGCTTCTCCAAAACGTGTGCTAGAGCTTGGATCATCAGGATTCTTGGAGAGGACCTGAGTTGGTGCCTGGCTGTTTACTGAGAGCACAATTTGCCCCAGGATCACTCTCCAGGTGATGGATATGCATCTTCCCATGGGGCCAGGGCAAAGCATGCTCAGTGCATCAAGAGGGAAAAGGCACCCACAGCAGACAGGGAAATGGGAATACACATAAATCCTCTCTCTCATCACACGGAAAACAAAATAATCCTCTCAGGCTACTCAAATTTGGTTTGCTATGTGTTCTAAAGAATCTATGTGTTCTCAAGAGATTATCTTCAAGGAAATAAGAGATGATCATTGGCTGCTCTCCGCAGCTGAGCATCTATCTACCTTTCATGCCTTTCAATTATACACACCTGGATACCTTCCAGGCCAGGAATACATGTTGCTGTTTGAATTTTGGGCTGCAGTGGGTACAAGTGGAGTTTTAACACACTTAGCATTTCACCAACCCTGATGTAAGCAACAAAACCATCCATCTGGGGTTATAAAGAGCTGACCCAGATCAGTGTGTCCAAAAAGGGCAACACAGCTGGTGAAATGCCCAGAACACAAGTCATCTGAGGAGCAGCTGAGGGAGCTGAGGATGTTTAGCCTGGGGAAAAGGGGACTCAGGGGAGACCTTATCATGCTCTATAAGTCCCAGAAAGGAGGTTGTAGCCAGGTGGGGGCCGGTGGCTTCTCCCAAGTAACAAGTGACAGGATGAGAGGAAATGGCCTTGAGTTGTACCAGTGGAGGTTTAGATTGGATATTGGGAAAAATTCCTTCACCACAGGAATTGTCAGACACTGGAACACACTGCCCAAGGAAGTCTTGGATTCACTGTCCCTGGAGGTGTCCAAAAGGTGTGTGGGTGTGGCTCTTGGAGTTTTGGTTTATGAGTGAATGTGGAAGTGCTGTGTTAACAGTTGGAATTGATGATCTTAGGGGTCTTTTCCAACCTTAATGATTCAGTGGTTCTATAAGCAGAAAGGTGAGAATTCCAACACCTCATTAAAACGGAACTTGTCCAATTTTTTTGGCCTACAGCCCAGGCAGCAGTGTTATCCAAGGTGCCTCAGCATGCCTATTTTCAATTTCAGAGCTTCAGCATCAGTGTTTCTCTCTTCCTTCATCTCCTTCCATACACTAACCACAGTGCCACCATTCAGCAGGGATGATATTTAGGCAGGAGTAATCCTGTGGAGGTCCTGGGAGGAAATCTCTGGTACTTCATTAACCCATGGCTTTCTGCCAGCTGATGTGGTTTTATAACTGTACCAATTTTGGTGTGACCACAAATGCCAGCTGCTCTTTAGAAAAGTAGCTGTGTGTGTTTGGAGTCAGCAATAAAAGACTAACACTTGTTAAGGTGTTATCTTCTAGATGCCAGTCAAATACATGGCAAAGATCATTTCAATATGGACGTTGGCACACAAAGTGGTGTAAAGTGTTAGCGCTGTCTGAGATAATATATACCCAAACCTAGAAGGTCTGTCTTTCTCTCTATATTTACTATTCATTTTACTGACTTTACAGTAACAGCAAGGAGAGGACCATCTGAAATTGAGATGCCTTTTATACCTTGTCAGGGAGCAACCTGGAAATCTCCCTGTGATTCATCTTTACCACAAACAAACCTCAGTGTCCTCTTTCTGAAATGTACATAAACACTAAAATGCTGTAAATCCCTCCAGGCTGACCATACCCCCAGCTCTGCAGTCGGCAGAAGGGATTGCCCTAATTGAGTGTGTCAATTATGAGTAGTAACCCTGTTGTGGTGAGGTCAGCCTAACAGACAGCCTTTAAAGACTTTAAACAGGGAACTTAACAGCAGAGCACCTGGGTGGTTGGTTAATACAGCTTCCATGAAGACTGCTTTCATTAACTGATTTCTAGGCAACAGCACTCTAAGTAGCTCTAAGAAAACAAACTTCAAGGAGTCAAAAGCCTATGGTGTGACACAAAACAGACAAACAAGTTGCATGTGAATGACTTACTTATGTCTTGTCAACTAGGCACCTATGGCATTTGTAAAATTTCATTTCCATGTGTATAATACCTGTGTGCAAAATTTTTCAAAAGAATTAATAAAGGTCTTAGTATGTTACTGCTGAAACACTGAGTGCTGCTGGAAATCCAATAAGCAATGTTACAGGTTTGAATAACAGAGGTACATGAAATTATGATTAAAAATAATTGAAAGAAATGGCTCATTCAGTTCTATTAAGCTTTGATTGTTCCTAGGAGTATCAGGATACATGCTCCTTCCCACACAACATTCTCTTTCTCTGCATTTCAATTTCACCAAAAATGGATTGTTTAAGAGGCTCACAAACCCCCTTATCTTACTTAGCAAATAAACAGATTAGAGGCACTTTTTCATTCACTTTATTTGGCAGTGCTGTTTACCTATTTTACTAATTACCACATTAATAACATTAGTAACCACATTTATAAAACACACCAAAGTTCCAGACTCAGATAATTTTTAATAGATTTTATTTATCACAAGTCATTGTCCATTTCTCATCCACACTTTATCCCTCACTTTTGCTGCATGTTTTAAAGGGTAAAGGAAGCTCATGGAGCTATCAGTGGCAAGCTTTGTTTTACAGTTGGAAACTACCATCTCATTACATACTCACATCACAAGAATGTTTTTACCACAGTGAACATCATATTTTACATTATTTTTTTTAACATAAACTAAGCTGACCTATTTTTCTTTTTCAGTGCCCTCTCTAGTTCACCTTACACTTCCTGCATACTTGTTTTTTACTTTCTAGTCTCAGCAACATCAGTTAAAAGTGTCTTGTAAAGTAAATCTGGACTACAGATACATGCTGAACAAGTCAGAAACTTTCCTCCAAAACAAACTTTGCTTGGAAAACGTCAGTTTGTTGGAAAGCAAAGTTTATTTGACGGGGAAGCAGGCATCCAAGGTCCATGGCAGAAGGGTTTGCCACCACCAAGCTCACTGATTTGTGGTACCACCACCCCAGGCTTTAGGGTTTGGGTATCCTGCCCTGGGCCACCACGCTCTCTGGGTGTGTGGGTGAATTAGCTGCAGGCCAAGATTACCACAAGAGTCAAGGATGTACGGATTTGGAAGGAATGGGAGAAGGTGGCTGCTCCTCTTAATATGGGGGGAGGAAATTAAATATTTTGGTTTCCTTACAGTAATATTTTTAAGTGATTCTAGTCCTGAAATTCTTTGTTTGCTTTCATTTCACAATGAAATTCATTCTTTTTCTTTTGTTGTCACAGAAACAGTGATTTCCCCCTAGTTCTGCATTCCAGCAGTCTCTTGCAGAGGCCCCTGTGTTACAATATAGGAAGTGGGGTTGTGATGACAGTGGTGGCCTCTCCCTCAGGCTGTAGCTTTGTAAGACCCCCTGAACAGTGACCCTGTCACAGGAGCCAGTGCAGAGGCTGCCTGACAAAGGACTTCATGGTTTGGTCTCAGGGGTCTGAGAGAGTTTAGCTAAAGGTGAATTGGCAGAGTTCATTTGGTGTAAGAACCTTCTGTTCACTGTCGAATGCTGGGGCAGCTGGTTTTTCACCTTTGTGTGAGTACTTGCAAATAGATTTCCTCATTGAGCCCCGGTCCCAGTGGTGCCCCCTGAAGCACCAGCTCAGGGGCTGTCACCTGCAGCCAGGAGCAGAAGCCTTTGTCACCCTGCTCCCAGTGCCAGCGCAGCCCCTGCCCCCTCACCCCTATGCAGCTCTGCTTTCGTACATGGGAACTGGGCAGTGGGAATTAGATTTTAAGGGAGAGTTTCATTTGAAAATGTCCCCACACCTCTGTCCTCATTTGAAATTTAACACAAAGTATTATTTTATCATGTTTGCAAATGTGTCCTCGAGGGAAACAAGTTATTGCTACGGAACAGAAATGTCAGGATTTTAACTCAATTCACGGTATTCATCTAGTAAATGTCATGCTTGCCCCATATGCATTGTACCTTTATTTTCATATTGCTCAAATTTTAGATTAAATAAGCTCATTATTTTGACTTCCTGTGTCGATTAGCTGATGAAAAATTATTTTTGAGAATTTCAGAGTACAAATCCAATCTGCAGATTAAATTTTTCACTTTTCATGACAAATGGAAATGCATATAATGAAGTGCATTAGAATATTGGTCAGAGTCTTGCTCTGAGCTAAGCACAGCATGAACATCTTTATGCTTGCTGGCAGTAAACCAGCTTCTCTCTTTTCTCTGTTTTGCACAGTCCTACTAAGCCAATCCTCACTAGAATGAGCACAAAACAAATGAATAACAGCTTTTGTACATCAACATTAAAATGGGAAGAAGCTTGGGAAAGGGCCTCCAACAGAGAAGAATGCTGACAAGTGCAAAAATGCCTGATGGATAAGCACCACCTTCTAAACATAGATCAGCCAGACATGGAAGTGATTTCAGAAGAGAAATGCAATCATGGATTACACACCAGCTCATTAGAAACTGTTGCTGAATACAGCATCCAGAAGACATGCATGAAAAGTCACATTTGGGGAATAAATTAAAAGGGGTATAGTTGTTGCTAGATAAACATATGTAATATATATGCATTGAACAGGTTTGTAAATGTCATTTTTTTTATTCGGACGGAAAGCAAAAAGCTTTAAAACCTTTCACAGTAGAGAGACAGTTAACTTCAGACTATTCCTATCCCAGTAGCCAAGAAGTTGTTAGGACATCTCTCTTAAATTAGCATTTATAGACTCTGAATGTTTCCATCACCTAGTGGAAAAAGCATAACTTTTACTGCTACATTGCTGCACTTCATTTACTTCACTGTATAATAAGTTGACTAAAACTGTAAAGCTTCTCAATTTTTACTGCATATGTGTTCCAATTAATATGTCTGTAACAAACTTAAGGCTCAAAAATTATTTCTGACCTATATTCTAGTTCTATGAAGCATATATATATGGTATGTCTGACTGAATATCACAATGCTATAAAATTTCCCAAGATGCATAGAATTGTTTGTATTTGAAGTGACAAAATAAAAGCTCTTGATTTCTTTTTTAATAGGAGAAAGTAATTTACCCCTTAAATGTAACACACTGCTGCTTGCTTTCAGGGTGTTTCTTTTCCTTGTTCTGCCATACAACTGTGGAGTGACACTCTCTGGCCCATGCTAATGCCAATCAGACAAGGTGATCTAATGAGACCTTCTGGCCTTAAGTTCAAACTCAATGCAACTCAGTAAACCCTTGAGTTTAAACTCAATACAAAAATTAAGAAACTATTAAGCAAATACATGTTTCAGACAGCCGTGTGAGGGCTGGATGCAAACAGCCCTGGGGCACTGGCAGGGAAGTGATTCCCTCCCCAGGTCCCAAAGGGCACTCTCAGTTCCAGAAGCCACTGAGAAGTAAAACACGAGTAGGCACAGAAAGACCTCGTAGCGAAAGGCCTGGATACCAAGCACCAGGAACAGAGCAACAGAGGGAGGCAAAGAGCCCCTCTCTGCTCCTCTCTAACACTCCCACCAAGGCACACGTCTGTCCTGGCTTGGGACTGGTCATGAGCACCCTACATGCCTCTAGGTTCTCCTGCATATCACAGATGAACCCAGCACAAAATGAACACTGCAGTTCATTTTTCAATTTTCAGATTCCTTCAGGGTTTTTAAAGCCTGTTGCTTCATTCTTTGGCTTTCAGGGGAAATGGCTAAAGTAATAATTGCTAGTGTTGATCCCAAATAATGCAAAATTCTGAAGACATGAGGTAAACATGAGTTAAAATTGCTTTTTAACTATTGATTGCACAACACAAATTATTCCAGAATTTAGTGCATGAATCTCAAAAAAAAATTTTAATTTTGAAAGAAAAATTATCTTTAAGCAAATTGCCAGTAAACAAATACAGAGAATTAGATAACTTTTCTATCTATCTACCAAGGTACCAATGTGGCGCTGACTTCACCTAGATGTCAGCCAAGTAAATTTATGTGTGAATCTGGGTAGCATTTAAAAAATTAAACAGTAGTTTTTAAAATCTGAAACTACTCTTGTATCTGGATGTAGAAAATTCTCCTGTCTTCTAAAGAACCAGCACTAGCTGGTCAAAAACCCCACCCAAATCAGTCAACCACCATAAACATCTTCCCAGTACCTGAAGGTACATCTACCCATTGACCTGAGGGGGATGGAAGGTAAAAATCAAGCAGCTCACACATGAGGAAGCATAAACTCATTTAAGGGCCCATTTCAGGCAGGTTTTTAAATCTTTGATTATTCCAACCAGTGTCAGCTGGAAAATGCACATCCTCAGGGGCTGGATACATTCAGGAGTCCCTGTTAAGTGGTGTCTCAGTGAAGCCCATCCTCATTCTCTGCTCTTGTTGGCTCACAAGCACACTCGCACCTCAAAGCCTGTGAAAGGCTTTGTTATCTGGATGTGCTCTCATATCACCATCTTCATTTGCTCCTTGAGTTTACCTCTGTCCCACATTATTGCAGTCATGGCACTTTTGCTGTGACAGAAATCACCAAAACAGGGTTTCTCTGTATTATATTATTTTGTTTAGCATCATGGTGATGGTGTAATGTAAAAACCCTTTCTAAATATACACAAGCATTGCAAAATAAGTGCCATCACAAGACATCGCAACCCTGTCAGGGCAGCTCAGTGAATATGTATCATTTGTACACAGTCAGAAGGAGAGACGTACCAGGATGTACATCATTAAATGTTGACTCAGTAAGAATAGTATGTTTTATCTTTTTAAATGTTACCACTTTCTCATCCCACTCCATTGTAACTTGTCAATTGTAATTTCTTTTTAAGTCAACAAACTGTAAAGAAAACTGTTGAAATACCTGATTTTCTGTAAAAGTAATAACAATAATTTTTGTTACTTCAAAGTATGCTTGGTATTAAAGTACCTAATAAAGTTCAACAATGACTTTTGTAGCATACTAAAATAAAGTCTGATAGTGTTTTTCTCCAGCTCATCTGTGGTAAGGGCAGCTGTTGTTGGGATTACTGCCCTCCTAAACAAAAGCCTGGACACCTCCTCAACATCTGTACCTACAGAGATCCCTCAGGTATGTCAAGTCCAAGCAGTACTGGATCCCTTAATGAGCGCAGGGATTTGTAGACATGGGTCAAATTCCTAGCAGAATCTTGTTGGTAAGTCATCTCCACCCTCTGGTACCTGGCTACTTTCCATATATTGGCAAGTTTATATATAAGTTCCTAATTACTCTGCTTGGTATAAAACTTGGTTTATAGTAAGAGAAAGAAGAGTGTAAATTATTTATAAATTAATTATGGTTAAATAGAGAACTTCCAGGTTTGTAGGACACTGTTCATTTTTATAGGCCATGCATTTCAGTTATTTATAAATAGATTGGAAATCCAAAACACATGATTTGGATGCCACAGTAAAGCTCAGAAGTTGATCACTCCCAAATTTCACTATGCGAAGGTACACTGGAGCCATCAGGGGCTGTCACATCATTCCAGAGTTTGCACCAACTGGAGGTAAGTACTTCCTTGTCAAAGAGATGCTGGATTTCCCTCCATGCTGCTGATGCAGCAGTATCTGTGTTTGGAGACGATCTAGAAATTATTGTGACTGGGGTCTAATTATGCCCAAACTCCCAGGCTCTGACACTTTTCAATCGGAGTAATGGATCAGCTTCTCTCATACCATCCATCTTTCCCTGTTCTAGGGAGGAAAATGTAATGCTGGGCCCAGCAGCTTTCTGTCTCTTTCCACTGCTACTCTGATATCCTTTAAATATTTAAAAGTTTTAGTGGTTTCATCCGATTCTCTGAGGATTTGAAATGGAGTAAGATCTAGACAGTTTAAAATAAATTAAAAAACCCCACCCCAGATTTGTCCTAACTAGCTTACACATTGAAAAGACAGCCATATACTGAATAGGTTCTGAGATAGTACTAGAAAGCAACACTTTTTTCCCCCATGTGCTAAAGTCAAGAGATTTACACATTTCTCCTTCCCAAGGAGCTCTGTAGAGAAGGGATTGGCTTTGCCTGCTGTTGGCAGTGCCTGCACACATTAGGCATGCTTGCACCCATTGCACCTTGGTCTGTGATCCTCATTGACCTACACTAATAATTTGAAAAGAGACTTTCACAGAAGGCCTGGAATTCTGCAGAAGGTAGAATATGTAGTTTAAAAATCCGTTCCCTTCCCTTTAGATCAAATAATGTTTGTGTCATGGTGCTGCAAATACAAAATGAAGGCTTGCAGTGATCAGATGCTGACATGATGCTTTCTATTACCCATCTGTCTCTCTTAAATTTTTGCTTCGTGTTACTTTATGCTGCCTTCTGAGATGTCCTTTGCATTTTAAAAGATAAAGTGATATATCTTTCCTTTCTTCCAGATAGTCTCATAGCCCCACGGGGTGGAGGGAAGGGGTTGGGGTGCAGTTACACAGCTTTTCCACTTCACAAAGTGACGAGAGAAGTATTGCCTCTGCAAGAGGCAAATCTCCAGGTAAAAAAGTATAAGCAGACACATTGTGCTCATCAAGTCCCAAGAGGAGATGTAGCCCCTAAATGCCTACGAGACAATACAAAGCTCTTCTCCTTTTGACACAGATCTAAAAGTTGCTGCAAAGGACTTCTTGAGATCACCAGTGTGAGACCAGCCTCCAAGTTTGAACATCAGCTCAGTCACCTGGGAAAACAGCCTGGGAGTGAAGATGTTCCAAAAAGCTAGGAGCTGGGGCTGAATTAACCTCCACAAACCAGTTTTAAATTGGTATAACTACATGGATTGTTACTCCTGATTTTTTTAAGTGCAAAGTAGTTTTACATTAGCCTAATATAGCTTTTAGGATTATTAATAAGCAAAGTTATATATTATTCTTAATAATTTCTTGGGGGAAAAATTAAATAAAGATTGTCAAAATCCTATATGCTAGAATGAAGTCTCTTTGATATGATTACCGTATATTTTTAAAAGTATTTCCATAGTTTAACACCAGAAGATGTTCTAGATCATTAGCTACATTACTAGTTACACAGCCTCAGGATTCCTTTGGCAGATCCCAGCACAGGAAGGCAGGAATTTTGCTCTGCCATAGCAGAAACCAGGAACTTCCTCACTTTGAAAACTCTCAAGCATGGCTTTCTCACAAGGTATCAGGCAAGACTCTGTGATGTCAGCACCAATGCCAGGCTTACAGGTATGCAATTAGCACCTTGACTCTCCTTTATATAACTTTAAGACAACACAATTCAGAATTAGTAATAAGCTAGATATTCAGTCTGAAAAAGAAAATTAGGTCTCCTCTCTATTTGATTAGATTTTTTTTTCCATTTAAAAACTAAATTAGTTGAAGTGTCACTGGAATATTCTGAGGGCCTGCTAAGTGTCTGCTGTATTCGTTGAGTTTCTCAAATGGCAACTGAAAGTAATGTAAAATATTATGCTCCTGAGGCCATGAGCTGAGATGGTTGGTGACAGTTTTCTAGAATAGCTTTTAGGTGATAAGCTACTCCACATGGCATCAAGAAAGAAGCTGTTTTAATCAGTATAGCTGAATTTATGTATGCTTGAGAAGGATAAGGAATAAAATAATTCAGAAATTCTGAAAGAACTTCAGGCTTAATACATACCATCACTGTTTGGGGGAGGGGTAATTTTTATTTTATATGCTTTAATATAATATGAAAATCCTGGTTTACAGGTTTT